AGTCATTTAATAACCCTAGAAAAAAGAAAGGCGAACGATTCGACCTGGGATGAGACTCAGCTATGAATCCGATACTCCACCGTCGCAGCTATCCCGATGTGTATGGAAAAAATCAGGGTAATTTCTAGTAAAAAGTATCCTTCGGAAAAAAATTTGAGGGGTACGATGCATTAGTTTGAGTTTATTAAAACAAAAATATTATTCGTTTATTATTTAAAATATTTAGAATGGATTGATGAGCTTTCCACCACTCCCAATTCCAATGTAAGATCTACAATAAACGATGTCGCATTGCGTTCATCTGTAGGATACGCCAAATCATTGTTGTGATCACTACCTCTGCTTGAATGTATCCTTTCGTCATTGAGTTCATCATCTGAACAGAGGGTGACCGATCGTCGTTGGATATCACTCACATGTTTATGCTCCCAATGATTCGCTGATTCCATCATGTTCTATAGGGAAAGATCGCGTAAAAATTTAAATGATGAGCTAAGTTTTCGTGAAAATGGTTATATGCCTGTTGTCACTGCCAATCAGAATGCTTTTCTGTTGGATGAATGTCTGCTTCCTTGACCAGTTCAGAATATCTGTCTTAAGAAATCGGACTTAATAATAGGATTAAAGCTTAGGATTATCTATGTAGGTGGGGACAGACCACAGAAAGCATTCAGAAATGAATCACGAGATGCAACTGAACAGTCAGAACAAGCAGTCGAAAGACCCTGAGTTTGAACCTCGATAGGGAGCAACTCGGTTTTCGTGCTTCTGAGGTAAATAAATTATTGCTATTTTGTGAAACAGAAACAGACGACTGTATACCGTACTAGTCGCCAAGTTGAGGAGTATGCTTTCATAAGAATATAGCGCTCCCAGCTGATTGAATCGTGACGGGGATGAGCCTTCCCTATGCTATAGGGAAACATGTTACAAATAATCAAAACATAGAGGAGACCGACATAATTAATAGCTACAAACTTTCCTTTATCTATCGCGAACAACGATCATGGGCCGGATAGGTGACATCGCTTTCGCAGGGTGGATATCGCCCTGTGCAAAACGATAAGTTTACCAGCCTCCTAAGTTATGATGTATGATGCTCGAAAAAAGGATGGCTTTCGCCGTTTCTCATTGGAAAGTAAAGCAGCAATTGTGCTATGCTATGACGTGTACAATAATATGCAGGCCTACGACCATGACGAATTACAAGAGCCGGTCAGACAGTTGCTCGCTGACTGTAAGAAGTCGAAACCTCAGAGGAAAGGAAGGTTAGTAATCGGTGGAATGTCGGCATTCCTCATACTTTCCTTATCAGGGGATTTCTGGCGCCCATCTCTTTTTGAAGTTAATGGTACGGTGCCTGCTTATCTCAGCTTCCGTCTTATAGGTCAGAAGTGCCTTGTTTTAAAGGCAGAGTCGACAGGGTCGACGTGACAAGAATAGCGTCCAGTCTCAGTTTCCGCTTCCAGAAAGTGGAACTCATTTATCAATCTTGGAAGCAAGAATGAAGAGTTATCTGTAACAGTGCTCTAATATAGGACCTCTCGATACTGAGTCAGACGCGCTACAGACTGAGTAACGTACCGTAAATGCAATGCTCAACGGAATTTACGGTTAAGGCCAAGAATGCCTCCATCGGAATCTATGCTGACACCTCTGGAATTCGAAGCCGATCTTACACAATCTGCCACCGTGTCACACAGGGGTAGCGTAGTTGCTTGTGACACCCGTGCTTAACATACGCGGTCGTATAACACAAAAGTCGTCAAGACCAGAAACACGAGGAATGTCTGTCATGTTTGACCATAGATCACCAGGGACATTAATCTTCAGCTTGCATTTTAGGTCAACAGCTGAAGTTTCAAATGGAAGAGGTAGTTACTGCACGAAGTCCTGAAGCAGTCATACACAAGACAGACTAGCAATAAGACAATTAACGACAGTTTAGAAACCAGTGACTGGTTTTATGGCATGATGTCAGCGTAGTTCGAAACAACGGTCACTTTTATACTTATTTTCTGTCAGAAAAGATTTCGTCATAACGAAACGGCAGTTTTAGAGTGTTGTGATGGAGACAACTGGCTTCAAAACAAATAACGGCTCGCCGCCAGCCGGTCACTGCTTGTCCGAGTTGTCGGTCGCGGGAAAACGAACTCCTAGGAGGTCAAGAATGCCGCACCCTCACGTTTCGAGGGATGTCGTTTCAAGGAAATAAAGTACATTTAATCAAGCGAAAGCAAAGCTGAACACTGGTCATCGTTACGTGAGACCACTTACCTGCCGTTTCTGTGCGGTTTGCCGCCGTCGCTACCGCGCTCACTCTGGTTCTTCTTTTTCCTCGCCTCTGTCAGTTGCACGTAGCAGATGAGGCCAAGCACCAACAACACGACGACCAGACTGAGACGCATGGCTTGCTGCACAGATCCGGATGCAATTCACCTCACTTCAGTTCAACGCACGACACAACACAACCGAACCGACCTCGGCTTCCAACGTCCGCTGCACCGTAGCCTTGACAAAACTGAATGCACACGGAAAACGAGCGTGGCACCAGGACAGGGAGGAGTCGAGTCGAGTCGAATCGAGTCGAGTCGAGACGAGGCTCGTAGCGAGGCCGCCGTCGTTCGATTGTTCTCGTTGGTCGTTCGTTCATTCGCCGGTTGTCGGTCAATTGCAGACCGGACGACGGCGGCAGCACACACCCTCTGCGTTCGCCGATCGAATGTCACCGGTGACAGGCGCCAACGGCATCGTGGCCAACCGATCTGGGGCCATACAATACGCCAGCCGGGGCCCCGGGGGGGACAGATGAAAAACGACCTTGGCTTCGCGTTTCGCGCTTACGGCAATGACAGCCGCTGCGCCGCCGCTGTCATGCCATGCCACGCCACGCCACGCCACGCCATGCCATGCCACGCACTTCGCTCCCTCTTCAACAACCACCTCACCTCTCCTCACGGTCGACAACTTTTAACGAGTTCCGTAACTCCACTCTTCTCGCGTGCCGGTCTTCTCTTGACCAAGCAGCGGATGCAAATTTACAAGCACGTGCAATAAAGGGGTCGACGTTCCAGGTTCCGTGTTGCTGAGATCATCCGTAACTTCATTTCTTATTGTATGACCCTGAAAATTTGCATGAAACAAACTAGTTATGCCCGCAACAATTAGCTGGCGGCGACGACTCCATTCAACTGTTGATTATTTATTCAGTAACTTAATAAATACGGGATGGAAAAACAACGGCGATGCTCTGAAACCGAACAGACCGGAGTGTAATTCGTTTCGTTTCCATACATGAATATTACCTGAGTATTACGAGTTTGCTAGCAAACACAACTAGTTTTCGATACCGTCAATAAGAACGACAATCTTTTGTCATGTTTCCACGGCGTTGGAGCTTCCTTGCCTCAAGTCATCTGCGACGGGGAGGGGAAGGGGGGGTCTCCATGAATTTTAGCATCTGCAGTGAATGGATGCAAAACCCGTGTTGAAAATTCATTTTTGTTTTCTATTATGCTCTCACCTTACAGATATGATATTGTTATGACATAATTTGGAGCGGCATGCCACTTCAAAGCAGTTGCAAGTAATCATGGTAAGCATCGCACAGTAAGTTCCATCCTTTTTGGAAAATCGCTGTTCCATTGGAAAAAGATCCAATGATCCTTGTCTTCGGTTCATCAGACAATCCACCAACTGAATTACGAAACGCGACAATGTACCGTTTTTAATATTCTTGAGCCACTTGGCTTTAAGAACTGAGCGTGACGTCACGGTGCCTAAAGATTAATTTCGAACACCTTAGACATCGGGTTCAATTCCTGTTAAGAGCGATATTTTTCGTAATCAGTAAATTCCCCTCAGCAAGGAAATTGCTACATGTTGTTTCAGACCGGTATTGTTCAGTCGGTTGAGCGTCTGACTCGGAATCGAGAAGTTGAGACACTCGTGTTTGTTCGTTCTGAGGTTTATTACTGAGTATCACTCTAAGAGAAGGAACTTGGAGGTTATACACTGAACTTGCCACGTAACCTAAGCTCTTTTAAATTCTGTTAAAAGTATCTTTAAAATATGCACATCTAACTCATAAGGTTTTTCCAGAGCTGGTCCTATTATGGAAGTGTAAAGAAGAGCGGCATTACATCAGTTTCATACTTCCCTTTCCATCCTTGATCCTAGTTATGACATATGTCTTGTGGCGAGTCCTTCTTTTCATTTCCATGCTACGTCGGCAAAATGACAAGGCCGATGTATCCACTGACCCTGGAGGCATTATTGACTAGAATATTAAAAAAATCTTCCTGTAATTATCTTTCACGTTTGAGTGCCCTATCCCTTTCTGTGCCATGGGGAGATGAAGCTTAGCCATAGCGGAGGATGTTGTCACGAACAACCATGCAGTTCCAGCGAGAGTAGTATGAAATAGCCCAAACGGAACTCAGCTTTAGAAAAGGAATACAACAGAAACAATCTATACGAATAGTCTAGCATCTACATGGCTGCACCTGGCGCTAGAAGGATGCTTGCATTCATGTAACCTACGCAGCATTTATTTTCCACTCCAAGTCAGAGCCAATGCCAATGAGATCATCATCGTAACAAAGAGCAACGACACAAAGCCTCACCGATTCCGCACATGGTTTACCATACGAGGTTCAAGATCATCACAGATCTTGCTCAAGGATAGACAGTGATAGCGCCACTCGTTAATCTCTCCAAAATTATTTTTACAAATATAACTTAAAAATATGTATTAAATGCAACACCATGTTTACAAAACTGTTTTTAAACCACTGTCTCGTTCTACTTGGAAATTTCTCTGAAAGCGGACAATTTACTATGCGCATGCTTTCTGTAGAAACATCAGATCAATTCCTTGCTTTCCGACGAAATGGCCGATAATCGAACAGCAGCTGTATTACACACTATCAAGGGACAAACAAACGAAGTGTGCTGACGGC